GGCTGCGAGGCGGGGACAGCCGGGGTCACCGGGGGATCACCGGGCAGGGAATTCCCAAATCCCCGTTCCCGTCCCGACCCATCCTCCCTTTCCCCCCGCAGTTTCCAACGAGGTCCCGGAGCACCCGTGTGTGTCGCCGGTGTCCAACCACGTGTACGAGCGGCGGCTGATCGAGAAGTACATCGCGGAGAACGGCACCGACCCTGTCAACAACCAGCCGCTGTCCGAGGAGCAGCTCATCGACATCAAAGGTACCGGGAACGGGAACGGGCGTGGCAAAGGCTCTCCCGGGAAAAGCGGCTCTCCCGGGAAAGTGGCTCTCCCGGGGGCGGGAATGGCGGTGCCCGAGGTGTTCTGGGGTTTGAGGTGCCAAACTCAGCTGTGGAGGCCGGGAAGGAGCGGGGTAAAGAAGGGATGGTGAAATGGGGAAGGAAAGGAATGGGAGTGCCGATCCATAGGGATATCAGGCACACGGATGACCCGTCTGTCTTTCCTGCAGTCGCGCACCCGATCCGGCCCAAGCCGCCCTCGGCCACCAGCATCCCGGCCATCCTGAAGGCCCTGCAGGACGAGTGGGTGAGTGAGCGCCGGGGGGGTTGCCGGGGTCGGGATGGTCCCGGTGCCGTTCCCGGCTGACGGCGGCGCTCCCGCAGGACGCCGTGATGCTGCACAGCTTCACGCTGCGGCAGCAGCTGCAGACCACGCGCCAGGAGCTGTCCCACGCCCTGTACCAGCACGACGCCGCCTGCAGGGTCATCGCCCGCCTCACCAAGGAGGTCACTGCCGCCAGAGAAGGTGACACAGACGTGTGGCATTTCCAGGAAGAAGCGCTGGGAAGTGCTTTATCTATCCTGGTTTTCTTCTAAACCTGTTGTGTTTCTGCAGCTCTGGCCACGCTGAAGCCTCAGGCCGGGCTCATCGTGCCCCAGGCGGTGCCGTCAGCACAGCCCAACGTAGCCGTGAGTCCCTGCTTTCCATCCCAGCCCTTTCCCCGCTCATTCCCAGCCCTTTTCCCACTCATTGCTCCCCCATTCCCTCTCTGCATGTCCCTTATGTCTGTGCTACACAGGGCGCTGGCGAGGCCATGGATCTGGGAGAGCTGGCGGGAATGACCCCGGAGATCATCCAGAAGGTAGGAGCAGTGTTCCAAGTGTTCCCCTCTCCATCTCCCCATGGCAGAATTCCTGCTCTGTGCCCACCCTCCTCTTGTTTTCCAGCTCCAAGACAAGGCCACGGTGCTGACCACGGAGCGTAAGAAGGTGAGTGACCTTCGCCAAGGATTTGGAGGGAGCTGGGATGTGCCGTGCTCCAGCCAAGGCTGATGTTTATCCCTGATTTTTCCAGAGGGGCAAGACGGTCCCGGAGGAGCTGGTGAAGCCGGAGGAGCTCAGCAAGTACCGGCAGGTGGCCTCACATGTGGTGAGTGCCAGGCTGGGAAAGGACAGGGAAACTCCTACATGGAGCTGGGAATTGCGTCTTGATTCCTTTTGGGAGAATTTTGCTGCTTGTGGCAGTAATTTGGGGTTCTCCTCCCTCACACAGGGGCTGCACAGCGCCAGCATCCCAGGAATTCTTGCCTTGGATCTGTGTCCTTCCGACACCAACAAGATCCTCACTGGTAAGGGAGCTTTCCTGGGGGTTTGCCACCAGGGAGTAGATCTCTTTCTCTGTGTTTTTGGGAGTTTGAAGGAGGACAAGGGACACGAGGCAGGTGGATTAGGGGTTGGTTGGCCCCACACTCCCATCCCAGCGCTTCCCGCTCGGTTTTCCAGGTGGAGCCGACAAAAACGTCATCGTGTTCGACAAGAGCTCGGAGCAGATCCTGGCCACGCTCAAGGGCCACACCAAGAAGGTCACCAGCGTCGTCTTCCACCCATCCCAGGTGCGTCTGGCTCTTCCCTCGCTCCCAGGATGCCTCAGGTCTGGATATCAGCACCCTCCTCTGCTGGGAGCCCTCAGAGAGGTGAATTATTCCCATGTGAACCTTCTGGTGTTGTCTTTGTGCAGGACTTGGTGTTCTCGGCCTCTCCCGACGCCACGATCCGGATCTGGTCCGTTCCCAACGCCTCCTGCGTGCAGGTGGTCCGTGCCCACGAGGGCTCCGTGACCGGGCTCAGCCTGCACGCCACGGGTGATTACCTGCTCAGCTCCTCGGATGACCAGGTGAATCCCTCCCCATCCCACAGATTCCGCCTGTGCTTCCCACCCCTCCCATATCCAACGCTCTTCCTCTCTCCCCCAGTACTGGGCTTTCTCGGATATCCAGACTGGCCGGGTCCTCACCAAGGTGACGGATGAGAGCTCTGGATGTGGTAAGCCTTGGAGCTGGTTTTCCGCATTCTGGGCATCCCTTGGCTCCTGGAGTTCATGGGAACTCCTTTGGAGTGGTCTTGGTAGCTTTCCCAACCTTCCTGAGTCTTCCCAACCCTTCCAATCTAATCAGCCTTGTTGAGAGTTCCCAAATCTCAATGTTCCCAACTCCCTGTATCTTCCAAAACCCGTGAGTCTCCCCAACCCTCTTGAGCCTTCCCAACCTTCCAACTCTTCCCAACCCTCTTGGGAGTCATCCCAAGTGTCTGATTCTCCTGCTGTCTCCACAGCTCTCACCTGTGCGCAGTTCCACCCGGACGGGCTCATTTTTGGGACGGGAACGATGGATTCCCAAATCAAGATCTGGGATCTGAAGGTGAGGGCTGATGGAAATGTGCAGGAACAGGGGTTTGGGGCTGTCTGAGCTTGGTTTGGGGGTCAGTCCAAGGAGCAGGATTTTGAGGAATGTTTTTGGAGGTTTCTCCAAAAATCCCAAGGTTCCAGCTGCAGAGCAGCCACTGGTGACGCCGTGACCACACAGGCCGGTTGGGAACGATGCCACATCCCAGCTCTGTGATTCCCTGTGCCCACCTTGTCCCCAGGAACGCACCAACGTGGCCAACTTCCCGGGACACTCGGGCCCCATCACCAGCATCGCCTTCTCCGAGAACGGATACTACCTGGCCACGGCAGCTGACGACTCCTCCGTCAAGCTCTGGGACTTGAGGAAGCTCAAGAACTTCAAGACGTTGCAGCTGGATAACAACTTTGAGGTGTGTGATGTCCCTCTCTGCTCCAGGGGTTGTGGCATCCCGGAAAAGCCTTTTTTGGTAGCTTTTTCAGTGCCTTGTTGTGATTCTTCTCCGCAGGTGAAATCCCTGATTTTCGACCAGAGTGGGACCTACCTGGCGCTGGGCGGGACTGATGTCCAGATCTACATCTGCAAGCAGTGGACAGAGATCCTCCACTTCACAGGTGAGCGGCTCTGGGAATCATGGTAGTGGCTAGGGCAGGAATGGGACAAATCTACTCGGAATTGTGACCATGGATTGTTTTCTGTCCCCAGAGCACAGTGGTCTGACCACAGGAGTGGCCTTTGGCCACCATGCCAAGTTCATCGCTTCCACAGGCATGGACCGGAGCCTCAAGTTCTACAGCCTGTAGCCCTGGAAGTGGGGCTGGAAGTTTTTGGGATTGGGGCTGGGAGGTGGGTGGGATGTGGGGATTATCCAGGTGGGATTATCAAGCTCCCCTGTTGTAGCTGTCAGTTGTAAGGGAAGTCAGACATTGCCTTCCCCGTGCTCCATGGATTTATTGTTTAGTTTTTTTCCCCAATTCTGTGTGTTTTCCTTTAGATTGTTTTGTGCTTGTAACTGGTTTGACAAAAAAACCCAATCCTGGTGCTGGTGAAAGTTAGAGGCCGGGATGTGTGGAAGGAAGGAGGGAGGGAAGGGAAGACTGTGCAGTTTTGTAAGCAGTTACTTAGTTTCAGTATGGAAATAAAGAATTATTCCCTGTCATCCCAGTTGGAAAAGGCTCCTGTGAAGGGCTGGGGTGTAGTAGGGTGGGATTTGGGGGGGGTCTGTGGCTGCTGCCATCTTGGGAATGGGGATGAGGGTCCCTCTTTCGTCCCCTCCAAAGGACAAACCACACTTAAAGCCGTGTTTTGCACTGGTTTTATTTTTCCAGCTTTCCCAGAGACATCCAATAGCATCCAGGTAGAGGCTGGAGCTGGAAGGAGGAAGAGGGGGAAGAGATAATTCAGAGGGATGAAGGGGTGTTTGGGATGAAGGGGTTTTTAGGGAGCAGAAGGCACTCACCCCTCAGCCTCTCTGCTGAGTTCCCCCTCTCTTGGGAGCCTCAGGAAACACAACGCATCCCTGGGATGTGACTGTCCCCATGCTGTCACCTGTGCTCCTGTCCCCTGGAGACCTCCGTGCTCCTGTGAGGAGCAGCAGGTTGGCTTGGGAAGAAGGGGACACGTAGAGACCTTCCCAAATCCCTGCAGGCTCCCAGACTCACGTGAGGGCACTCCCAGCTGGCAGGAGGGCCGGCAGGGCTCCGGCTGGGCCAGGTGGCACACCGAGGCGCTGCAGGAGATGTACACCTGGGAGCCACAGGAATGCCAGCCTCACCTGGGGATCCCCACAAAGGCTCCCCGAGCCTGAAGAGACTCCCAAAAAGCATCCCCAAGTTTTGAGGAACCTCCCAAAACAGCGTGAGCTTCCCAACAGGAAAGGATTGTGGGCAGCTCAGTGCTGGAGTGAGTCTGGGGGTGTTGGGATGAGAGATTCCCAACACTGAGGCATTCCCAACACATGGATTCAGGAGGATCCCCCTCACCTCCCCTTCCAGCACAGCCATTTTGGGGGGCTCCACAAAGGCAAAGGTGGAGATGACGAAGCGCTGGTAGTGGCTGGGGAAGGGCAGCTCCGGAGAGGCCGGACCCATCGGAATCAGCCGTGTCCTGTAGTTGTCCCCTTGGAAGGGACACCTGGGTGGTAAACAAGGACACTGTGTCAGCACAGTGACCCCCTTCACTTCCATCTTCCCGTCCTTTTCCACTCACCCTTCCACCAGGATGGGCCACTGGGGCTGGGATGTGGCGTGGGAGCCAGGGGAGGCCCAGCAGTGGTGCAGCACCAGCACCAAATTGGGATCTGTCTTCTGGAGCAGCCGGACTTCCACGTAAATGGGGTCCCGGAGCACCCTCACCAGGGGGAAGTCACCCACAGCGTGGTAGGAACTGTAGGATTCATCTGTGGGAATGTTGGAAGGGGTTGAGCAGGATGGGGAGTGGGATGGGGAGCGGGATAGGGAGCACTCACCGGTGGCAATGCGCAGCTGGAGCGCCAGCGGGCCCAGCATGGCCAGGGGGGCCGATGTGGGGGGCACGGCCACCTCCACTCCCAAGGGAAGGAGGTCACTGGAGTTGTAGATGCACCGAGCTCGGAGACTGGGGAAAAGAGGGAGAGAAAGGTGGGAGACTCCCAAATCCTCCATCAGCCCCTCAGCCCAAGGTGTGGGGACACCACCAGGGATGCGGTAGGAGCGAGGGTTGGTTTGATCCAAGAGGGAATCCAGGCTCCCTGCCTCGATTTCTCCACCCTCTTCCCTTACATGTAGACGCTGTCCCGAGTGACGGAGCCACGGGGGGATCCCTGGACGTCGATGGTGGAGATCAGCTGGTTCTCATAGACCAGCGTGTCCCCTATCACCTGTGCAGGGAACACCAGAATGGGAAACATCCTGGGGCATGCACGGATCAGGATTTGAGGCAGGAGGCAGCATGTGGGTGAGTTTTTCCTTGAAATTTTGGAGGGACTGGGTGCTCCCACCTGGGGGTTCTCTGGGTTTTTCCTGCCCTACCTGGACGGTGGTGCCGCAGTGGGTGACTGGGAAGCGGAACATGACGAAGGCCTCGGACACATGGTGGGGCTCGCACCCCGCCTGGCCGCCGGCCACCCGCACGGTGTCCAGGTTGTACGGCAGGGCCACCATTCCCCGCGGCACCACCAGCACGAAGTGTCCCTCCAGCAGGCACTGCACGGTGGCTGCGACACCACGGAGAGGCTCCGTCACTCTGAGCACCCTCTCCCGGCGCCGGGGAGGGATTTTGGGACGTGCCCTCGGGGTATCCCTACCGGTATTCCCGTAATAGCAGGGTGTGGTGCGGTCCGTGTTGTCGTAGCAGCATCCCGCCTGCAGGCACGCATCCCGTCCCTGCGGAGCCACGCACGGCATGCGGCCCACCGGCACCTGGCACTGCTCCCGGGTCAGCTGCGTTCCTGCGGGAAGCACAGGGGACACAGCAGGAATGTGGGTTCAAAAAGTGCCTCGAGGCCGTTTCCCTTTGTCCCAGCATCCCAGCTTCCTGCCTTACCTGCCCCCGGCGAGGGGTAGAAGAGCGCTGTGGGCTGCAGCAGGCTGGGCTGGGTGTGAATCCCAGGCTGCAGCAATCCAGGCTGGGGCCGCAGCCCAGGGAGTCCCAGGCCGGGCTGGGGCTCAGCCTGGGGTCCAGGGCTGATGAAACCTGGCCAGGATGAGAGTCCTGGGTGCACCAAAGCTGGGCTGGGATGGAGCAGCCCAGCATGGCCTGGGAACACGGCTTGGGAGTTGGAGGGATGATTGGGACGAGATATTCCTGGCTGGTTTAGGGGCTGACCTCCCGGGCGCTGGAATCCTGCTGGAGTCTGGGCACCAGTGGAGGACAAGCCAGGCTGGTTGGGGGATACAAACCCTGGGCGAATCCCTGGTTGGTTTTGACCCCCAGGATGAATTTGGGATACAGACCC